ACATTTCCTTCACAAGCTTGAGGCATTCGGCCAATCCCAGCGCACTGGATAACGGGCCAATCAGAGCACACCTCGCTTTTTTAGAACAATGAGCTTTGTAAAAATACAATAATGTACATTAGATGGAAAATAATGTTTTTTTTTAAACCTTAAACTGCATAAACACATTGCATTACACCAAATACACCAAATAATGTTATTTTTAGCAACGTCATATGACCCCTTTAAAACTGTTACGCTCGGTGTTTGTCTGAAGCTCGGCTTACGGTAAACTTAAAGTCGGCATGAAACGGTAGTTGCGATTGTCTTTTCTTCTCTTCTGTGACGTATATCTGAGTGAAACAGCATCTGAAATGAGAGGACGGGACTTGATTGCGTCCTTCTGGAATTGATTGGTTCGTTGGAAAGGTGGGGCATTGTAAACAAAATGGAGGCAGATCTGAATGCCAGTTTGCAGTTATTGGTGGGGGATTTCTCTCCACTGGATTCACAGCCGACACCCAAGCATGAATAAATGTTTTATTTATTAAGGATGACGACGACAATCAATGGCACAAAACATGCCTAAACAGCTTGCGTGAGAGAGAGAGAGACTGTCTGAATGACTGAGCGCATCCTCCGTCAGGTTAAGTCATATTCATGAAAAAAAGTTGTTTGCGATGTCCTAAGAGTAAAGTTGACATAATATCCTAATATCTTTTCAATGTTTAGGGGTAACGTACTCCATCATGACTGGTGTCAGTGCTATAAAGTGAAGCATCAGCTTCAGCTTTTCCCCCTGTCGTTTATCCCAGCGTTTACCCCTCACGTCACTGTATCACCAGCAAAGTCACGATACGATACGTATCACGATACATGACTGCACTGAATTTCACCTCAGCAGAATTTAGAAAAACAGCTGTTTATTAAACACTGCATACTATAGTGCCATTTCTAACTATTGGCAGAGCAGGCAGTTGACCTCTGCATTATGAAGGGCCTCCAGAACTGTACCACAGTACAATATAGGTAATTGCATACGTTTCATGTTTACATTGTGCACTCCCCACCAGGTACAATATTCTGATTGTTTGCATCTTGTTTTTAAGCCCATAAATAATAATGTACTTGTTCTAATAAATTTATATTGTAATGTACTCATTCTAATATGTTTAAAAAAAAATTTACATTGCTGGTAGGTTATCATTGCCCAAATTAACACACTCTCTACAATAAAAAAAAATTAGAAGAGTTCTAAACTAACGCGCACACTCTCAAGGCTGATTTATACTCAAGCGTCCGCAAGTTCACTTTGAGTGCGCGCGACGTTGTTTCGCGTGGCGGTGTGCACAACATTTTTTTTACGTTTCCGTGCAGCTCCGCTCCGAGTTCAAAGCGACTCTAGCCGAACATGCACGTCTGTGCCAGCATTTGTGTGAAACAGAAGCAGTTTGGTGTTAAGTTCAGTCACACACACAGATCACGGAACAAAGTTTTAGCGCTGCCCCGCAATTTTATCAACTAAATAGCTTAATCGCTCAAGAGCTACATTATCTTTCTCAACAAGGAGCTGGTAGCATCATTGTTTCTAA